TATGTGAAATTAAAATGAACTGCATATAGTCTATGCAGTTACATATATCAACAAAGATGAATAAAACAAGTACCAGAAGAATTGTTTTTTTAAACATTCATATCATTTAAAAATATGCAACCAACTATTTATTTGTGAATATAAACATAGACTGTTACTAATGGTTAGTATTGTTGACTGGTGCCTGCAGCACAGGTAGCTGTTTCCAGTCATAAACTGATACTTACTTAAAATTTCCATATAATATGATGCTGAAATTTGGTATATTCCAAGAGCAACACAGTGGAGTTAGATATCTTTATTTTTAGGTCTTTTTCTGGTGCTTTAAAACATGGACTTATGTGAGCACCAAATATTTCAGGTTTCAAAGTACTCATCATTGGGTCATGGTGAAGATTTAATAACATAAATGGTCAAATTGTGTTAAGATTACACATTCCTGGATGTGCCTGATACATTATTACTAGATGTGATGGGAGCTGAAATTATATATATATATATATATATATATATATACATATATATATATAAATATATATATATAAATTTCTTGATCCATTCATCTACTGAGGGTCATTTGAGTCCGTTCCATATCTTAGCTATGGTGAATAATACTGAGAAAAATATAGTTGTGCTGGTAGCTTTAGTGTGGCCTTGTTTGTGATCATTTGGGTAAATGCCCAAATGTGGGATTGCTGGGTCCTAGGGGAGCTCTATGTGGAGTCCTTTGAGGAACCTCTATACTGCTTTCCAAAGTGGTTGAACAAGTTTACACTCCTACCAACAATGCACAATGCACTAGAGTCCTCTTCTTGCCACATCCTCTCCAGCGTCTATTGTTATTAGATTTCTTGATTATAGCCATTCTAACTGGTGTGAGGTGAAATCTCAATGTTGTTTTGATTTGCATTTTTTTATGACTAGAGAAGTTGAGCATTTCTTCATGTGTCTATTGGCCATCCTTCTTTCCTCTTCAGAGGTCTCTCTTTAAGTCTTTAGCCCATTTGTTAATCGGGCAGTGGTTTCTTTGAGGATTTGTTGTAGGGGGATTTAATTTTTTGAGTTCTAAGTATATTTTATTTATTTATTTATTTGTATTTATTTATTTATTTGTCAGTCATAGGGCTTGAACTCTGGGCCTGGGGTGCTGTCTCTCAGCTCTTCAGCTCAAGGTGAACACTCTACCGCTTGAGCCACAGCGCCACTTCCGGTTTTCTAGTGGTTTATTGGAGATAAGAGTCTCACAGATTTTCCTGCCTGGGCTGGCTTTAAACCTTAGTCCTCAGAGCTCAGCCTCCAGAGTAGCTAGGATTACACCCGAGTCCAGCCTAAGTATATTTTAGATATGAGGCCCTTGTCTGTAGTTTGGCTAGTTAAGTTCTCCCAATCTGTGGGCTTTCTATTGATCTTGCTAGCTCTGTCCTTTGTCATGCATAGATTTTTTAGATCTTTTAAATGATAGAAATAGTTATTTTCAACTGGGCTGTATAGTTCAGTAGTCAGTGCTCTAATTCTGATTACTTCAGATTGCACATGTAATGTCTCTTTCCTCATTGCTTTTTAAGCAAGGAGTTTTCATTTTAACATGTCCATTTATATGTTACCCTCTTCCTTGACTCCTTTCCAATCCAATGTCATCAAATTTGTATGTCCCATTTTTATTCATGTACATGAATTATTTTGGGTGTATTTGTCTTCTTCACCCTCTCCATTCATCTGTACTGCCTACACCTCAGAGAAGACATTTTGGTGTGCTATTTTATTTATCTGTACCTTGATTTTATTTTGTTAAAATAGGTATAGTAGATAGTAACAGTATTTTTGGAATGGAGTTGGCATTTAGGACAGTATGTGGCATAGGGAAATACTCAGAACATGTTTTCTATGAAATTAATGTATTGTTAAAGCTCATAGAACTTATAAACTTTACAGACCATGATAAAGACAATTTTTACCATGAAGGTTAGAATGTGTTTGTGACTTTAACTAAGTATTACTATCTCACAATACTGTGAAATTTGTGAAATTTATGTAATCAGTTAATCACAATAAAAATTGCTATAAAAATTAATGTTCTATTAACTATGCTTAAGTTAAATTAATATTAATCTTATTTAATACAAGACAGAAGTTCATATTTCAATTAATATAATCTTTTTAATTGAGAAAACAGAGAGTGAAAGAATTTAAGTGACTTTTCCATTCCAAGGCTATCTCTTAGTAAGTGATAAATCTTAAGACTAACCTAAATTTTCTAACTCTGTGTTTAGTGTCCCTGTGTAATAAATACACTGCCTTCTACAACAGATGCCTTAGTAAACATTTTTGAATAGTAGTTGAAAGAACCAACTTAATTGAGGAATCTCCTTAAGGATTCTGAATACAATTGAAGTAAAAAAATGAAGATGAAAGTCTTTGGTCTTAATTAGTTCATGTTTGTTCTTACACATCAATGTAAAATTTTTCAATATATGTATTTAACTGGAGGTAACTGTTCTGGTTCTGTAAAGAGAAGTAAATCTGGCTTTTCAGACCAAATTTTAATGAGAACAGATGAATGTGACTCTAAATTAATTGGTATGGCTTTGGAGGATTATTTTATGGTCTTGGATCACTGCCTGATCCACCCTAGAAGCCAAAGAAGGTTCCTGCTGAAAGAACCTTAGAGGTTATGTTCTTCCATATTCTGATTTTCCAGATGAGACTCAGAAGGGGAAATAACTTATTGTCCCACACTAAGTCACTTGAACTGAAATCCAAGTTTCTGATTTCATGAATAGTTTTCTGTCTCTTATAGAACAACCAATATTCAGAAAAACACTTGACATGCCAAAAGGTCTAGCAAAATAAGTGATTTAAAACTTCATTAAATATGTTAGAAGTGTAAAGCCCAGGGTTCTTTTTGATGCAAATATACTAGAGCTTATTTTAAAACAAGATATTACTGTTATTTTTCTAAAATATGTTTATTATCTTTAAGTAGTTGAACAAAGGAGTTGTCATTCAACAAAGTAGTTTATCTAGATAGATAGATATATGAATTCTATGCCTCCATCTGTGGGGTGCATGGACAGCAAAGATGGTGCTGAGAGGGAGTTGAGTGGGCAGAGCCCGATTTGTTTATGTTCAGTGTGTAAACAGCTCCTGGAAGCTTAGGTGCATGATGGGATGTGACCTTTAGAGTGATTGGTTGGTTCCTTTTCCTCCTCATGTCTCTTTTGCTTTAAAAAGTGCTTGCTGTGTGTTAATAAACAAGTTCCTGCTTGACTTGACTCCGGCTGTGTCTGATTGTCTCCCAGGTAAGGGAGGCTGTGGAATGGGTGAGCAGCACACTAACCTTTCCTTGGACCAGGTCTGTCTTTCCTGGGAGATGAAGACCCCACATCCATCTGAAAGAATGACACTGTGATTAGTTTTTTGAGGACCCTCCCTATTGCTTTCCAGAGTAGTTGAACAACTACTTTGGAAACATATATGTAATGAAGTTTTAAATCACTTATTTAGCTAGATCTATTGGCATGTCAAGTGTTTTTCTGAGCATCAGTTGTTCTATAAGATACAGAAAACTATTCATGGGATCAGAATCCTGGATTTCAGGTCAATCACTGAAACATTCAACATTACATTCCACCAATAATATGATAGCTTTCCCTTTGGCCATATCCACACCAAGCATTTGTTACTGTTAGTTTTCTTTTTTTTTTTTTTTGCCATTCTAATTGGGGTGAAGTGGAATCTCAGTGTTTTGATTTGTATTTTCTTTATGGCTAGAGATGTTGAACATTTCTTCATGTGTCTATTGGCCATTTTTACTTCCTTTTCTGAGAAAAAGTAAAAGTTTAAGTCTCTAGTCCATCAAATAATTGGGTTATTGCTTCTTTGAGGGTTTATTTGTTGAGGGTTTAATTTTTTGAGCTCTAAGTATATTTTAGATATTAAGCCCGTGCTGATGTACAGCTAGTAAAACACTTCTCTCATTCTGTGGCCTTTCTATTTAGCTTGTTAGCTATGTCCTTTGTTATGTAGAAACTTTTAAGTTTGTTGCAATCCTATTTATCAAATCTTTCTTTGATTTGTTGTGATTCTGGATCTTTACTTAGAAAGTTTCTACCCGTGCCTAGAATCCCTAGTGTTTCTCCTAGTCCTTCCTATAATAGTTTGCTATGTTCTTTAGAAGCAATACAGGGCCAACTTTTCGATAAGTTGCTTTGATACTGTCTGTCATCATATTGATTCTTCTTTAGCTGTTACTTTTTTTGACAATTTTCTTGATTCTCTGCTTTTAAAAAATTCCATCTTGTTTTTAACATTTTGATTAACTCACTGGTTATTAAAGTGTTGTAAAGGACAGACAAATAGAGGTGTCACTTACGTGTATACATGTTAAAAACCTTGCAGTTAATACTGGTGATGGAGAAGTTGATGATTAGTTGTAGATTTATTATTCATATGTAGCTAGTACTTCAATTTTGTTTAAAACATTTTCTTACATATTGTTAATCATGTTTAATACATGATTTAATATTGTTAATCATGTTTAATACAAATTTGGTATAGAATAAGCATGGTATAAACCATTTAGATTCTTTGTAAGGGTTCAACAAAGCACAATATGTTGGGCACAGTTTATGTAACATTGACCTTAATATAAAATACATATGGAGTTATTCTCCTCATTTTTCTAATTAGCAAACTAAATTTATGATTTCTTTCTTGTTTCTTAGGGGACTTACTACAGGCTTAATGTAGTGTTCCATATTTTAAATAGACTTATTCCACAAAGAGTCTATCATAAAGTTTAGGCTGAGGTAGACTAATTTAAAACCTTCACTGCTATGGGCTGCATCTGGACAGAGTTTTTGGCCATTACAGACTATAAATATTGACTAGTATTGAATGATGGAGAATGTGAATATCAGAACTGACAAGAGTCAAATATATATACAACTGACCTGCATAAACTTCTATTGAAACATAGTTCTCTTAATTTTTGTCACCAGGTAACCTTGGCCGGGTGGACCAGGTCTCTGAATTTGAATATGATCTATTCATTAGGCCTGATACCTGTAACCCACGCTTTCGAGTCTGGTTCAACTTTACTGTGGAAAATGTGAAAGAATCACAGGTAAGTAATATAGTGAGAACCATCAGTGTGGTTTTGGTAAGAAGAAATTCCTTTTACTCTTTTAGTAATGGCAAAATAATGATTATAGTAGAATATATTTATTGAATCTATTGCAGTGACAGAGTTTGTTTCACGAGATACAGTAAAATGGGTAAGTTATGCTTATTTTGCTAATTGTTATTAAATAATACATTTATATAAAGTGTACTTTATTGATTGAACCATTATTGATTGAGGGACACTATGAAGGAAACATTGGAAATGACTTGCTCCTATGGTTATATGGGTACTGTTCTCTATTATCTCTTCTTTATAAAGAATTGTGAGAGACATTGGACACATGCTGTAGTTTCAGAAAAAGTTTTCCTCTCTTGTGCAACAGGTTGTTTTAAAGACAATGTGGATGCTATAGCTCTTGTGTTTTTCCTTTATTTGATCTGCTTGGAAAAATCAGAGGCTATTTTATAGCCCTCTTTCATGAATTCTGACTGTTTTTGTTACTGCTTCTGTGTATTAACTTCCAATTTTTTTAATTATTATTAGTCTGATTTTAACCTTGATTTCTTTAGCTCCATTTTCTAATAGTGTTTTTATAACCACTTTCAATTCTTTTCATGAGAGTATACTAATGAAGATAGAGAGATAAAACACAAGATTAAAAAAAATATTGATAAAGTCTAATTCTCTGAAATCAGGTACCGTTCTGTTACTTTTGAGACAAGTGGTCAGGGAAGACTGCATAAGCTTTGTTCACATCGTGATTTTAGAATTCTTTTAAAGTAGATGAAAGTATAGCCCTTATAACCCAACATCTTCCATCAAGTATATCATATTCTGTCCAGTATATTTAGGAGACATTGCGGAATTTGTTTTATTTCACTCTTGAGTCAAACTTTCCTGCTTGCTTTTCCTTGTAATTGATTGCTTCTCTCCATTCTTCTCAGCTTAACTTGAATGATGTGTCAGGCATTATTAATATCGGGAATTTAGGTACTCTTAGTCTTCACTGATACAGTTTTGTTCATAGCATGCTGCTTTCAGCAAAAGAGAAGAAGAATCATTTCACAATTCTTAATTGTTTTAATTCTCTAAATACCCATGACACAGGATTGGAGAGTATATTGTATTTATTGAAGTTTAGGGGATAACTGGAAGAAATCAAATGCAAGAGATCCTTGACTATTGCTAGAATTTTAAGGCAAAGGTAGAAACAAAAGAGTTAAACCACATACAGAAACCCCTCATGGATAACTTTAGTTTCTAGCTTTGCTTGTTGGATTTACCTATTCTTTCATGACAAAGTTCCTTCTATTTTTTGCAATAACAAAGTTATACTCCTTTTACTTTTTAGATATTACTTAGGAAAACCCACATTGTAGCAATTTATCTGCCCCCTAGGATTGTTCTCTTGTCCAACAGATGCACCAACAATCCTCTAATTGTCTTTTTTGTGTTTGTTACGGAGTCTAGATTATAATTTGCAGCAGAAAGCTTTAGCTATTTGTACTGAGTCTTGGCATTTCAAATATGCAGCCCTCCCAAGATCTCTTGCTGTCATGAGGTAAACATACACTCTCTCATTCTTTTGTTAGTATCCCCATCTAATGCTATCAATTTGTGGTTGTCACATACACGGGCCTTTGTAAAACAAATGATTCTAAAGTACAGGCAAGTCATATGAATGAAGGGCAACATTTTCTTAAGAAGTAATATAATCTTACATGACTTATAAATTCATAAAAAGGATTACTTTTACATTTCTGCATATTATATGTATATCCTTCAGCTTGTCTATTCCTCCTCCACCTCAATCCACTAACTCCTAGGAAATGAGGCTGATTACTTTTAACAACAGTATCTTCTAATCTTCATGACAGTCTTTGCTAAATAGAAATTTACCACAAGTTTTGAAATTAAACTATTTCTTTAATTTTGTGTCAAATTAACTCCTGGCCTAGATTTTAAATCCCTTTAGGCTTTCTAAAGGTTTTACTTACAAGAAGAGTTAAAGATGAGGTTAGAACATTAGGAAAAATGTGTTCCTCTAGTTGCACTGCCTGGGAGAGACTTGGATAAGTTCCTCATGCATTCAAAGTTCTCATTTTCTTTTTCTAGTTTGCTTAAAGAAATATCCTTTCTATTTAAAATACCAGAGGCCACATACTGGAACTTTACCATTATGTGTGAAAATTATAAGTCTCTATGGCCATCTTGTCTATCCATTAAGTAAACAAGTAATATGACTGTGTTCCAAGGTATTATTCCAATAAAAAATTGGGTATGTTTTATGAATGTTTATCTTAAAGTTGTTGGAACTAATATTTTATCTGTCTCTGGATGCTGTCTACATTTCCAGTACTATTCTACCTGTGTTGCAATTAGTAATGTTTATCTGGTTTCAGAAGCCTGATACTTTATCAGCTTCTTTTGGTAGGCCACTGCCTCATCACTATAATCATATTACACAGTTATGGAAATCTGTCTAAAGAAAGCATAAAGATCTACTGAAAAGATACAACATATATCCCTTGCTCACAGGATATTTGTTTTCATGGTTGTCTACATGAAATGGAATGGCTTACTATTAAGTTTGACTTGTGAGGTCCGTTTTTATAATGTCTCCTCTTATAATCTTTTCTATCTCTTTCCAATTTCCGCTAAAATGAGAGCTGCATGAATGCAATCTAGTCAAGAACCTTATTTATGTCTTGGTACTACCAGACAAAAATTATTAGTTATCACAGGCTGACTACATTAAATCAGTGTTAAAAACTGAAGGACCAGATATACTGTATATACAGGTCTAGCTTTGAAGTTATTTTTCCTGATTTTTTTAAGAAAGAGATAAAAGTTTGGAACATGGTTATATCAGGATTGATATATTAACCTTCTCAAAGCAGTTGCTAGATAGTACATTTGCAGGAACTGATGAAAACTAAATGTCCTAATACTAATACCTATGTGAAAAAGTAATTTTCTCTCTGAAAAATTTATGTTAAGTATTCTTACATGAAAGTGTATTACTGAGAAGTAGAACACTTGTGTGATGTGGAAGCAAATCTTTCTATTTAAATACTCATGATAAAATTTTAACCAATAAGGAAATAAAATGGTATTCTTTGACTATTTAAATTGTATATTTGCTCTATTATATTCCTTTTTATCCCCTTGAATTTATATTTCCTTTTCCTAATTACAAAAATAGTTATTAATTAATGCAGTAATTTTGAAAAATACATATACTTGCTAGAATTAGAGAAATATGACATACATACAAAAATACTATCCTGCTAGATAAAAGTTGATGCCATTAACTTTTGGTATTTTATAAGCTTATTAGTTTGAAGCATAACTAAATATATACACATACTTGCTTCTAAGAACATAAGCATTATCACGGACAATTTTTTATCACTACAAAATTGATAAACATAGTTATCTAATAACTACTTATAATAAGGTCATTCCCTTGGTCTTGGTATTTCTATTGTATATATTATAAGTAACACTGAGGTGAACATCTTTATATAGAAAATGTTACTCAACCTGTTGCAAAAATGAGAAGTACAAGTTGTCATGTCCAAAACGAGCTTTACAACGTCGGTGGGGGGGGGGGGAGAAGGGGGGGAAGGAGAAGGATTGGGATTGGGGGGGAGGGGGGAGGCTGGGAAGGGATGTGAAGTTTAGGTAAACCAAAGGAGGAGGTTGCAATGCTTGGTAAGAAATGTACGCATTATCCTGCCCATGTAATTGTAACCCCTCTGTACAGTATGTTCACAAATAAAATAAAATTATATTAAAAAAAAAAAAAAGAAAATGTTACTCAGATTTGACCTTGCCTCATTTGGAAAAATGCTCCTGATGTTACTGTTGTGCAAAATATATGCACATTTTAGAAAACTTTTCTGCATATTTCAAAATTATTGTTGAAGTGTTTATGCCATTTTCTTTTCAGCAGTGAATGAGATTCCTTTTCTTGACTTTCTTGCTTTGAATTATTTTATGAACTCAGATGTTCACAAGTCCAGAGTAATTTGTTTCTTTTTCCTCACTGTGAAACTTTATAGATAAATGGGTTATGATGCAATGTCTCAGTTCTCTAGTCACAAAGAGATTAATTGCATTCTAGCAATAACAAGAGACACTAAAGAGACCCATTTATTATTTTTGACTTTTTTCTTCAATTCATCAATCTTGTTTTATATGGGCATGCCAACAGATTGTCCTCTGAGTTATGAAAAGAAGAATGTTATTTCTTGTGGTAGACATGATGGCATGAACTTATAGCCCTAGTGACTTGGGAGGATGGGAGATTGGTTGAGTTTAGGAGGTATGCACCAGCCTGGGCAATAGAGCAAGACACTATTTCTTAAAAAAATCATTATTTTTGTATTTCTATAAGCACTATTGTAACAAACCATATGTATATATACATACATACTTTTATATGTGTTTAAATTTGACTTTATAACTGTAGTTACCCATTCCTACTTCTCCTTCTTGTTTTTGTCCTTCTTATTCTTTTTCTCCTCCTCCTTTTCAAAATCTACTATTGCTAATTATTATTATCATCAGAAAGCAAAATATAGTGGATTCTGTGTTAAATGAAACTATGTTCTAGACCTAACTTTGGTACTTATAATCTCTATTGTTTTAAGAAAGTTATTTATTTATCTACTAATATTATCTATCTATCTATCTATCTTCCATGAGGCTAATAGTAGTGATTAATAGGATTAGTATAAGAATTAATGTGACATCCCTTCGGGTAAAGTAAAGGAGGAGGCAACAATTCTTGATAAGAAATGTACTCATTACCTTGCTTATGTAACTGTAACCCCTCCTGTGTACAGTATTTTCACAATAAAAACTTATTTAACAAAAAGAATTAATATGACAATATACTTAAAATTCTAAATCAAATCCTTGACATGTAAGAAATATTCAATAAATGTTGAATATTGTTATTACTGTATTTGTAAGTTGGTTTTTGTTGTTGT